ATCATGCAAAAGGGCCTGATGCTTGAATCGATCATTCGCTTCCTCTGAATCCATCATCAAAACCCTGCTCCCCTTCTTCATCATCTTCAACAAATTCCAATCCGAATCCCAAATAAAGGAGGAGAGAAAGAGGAAAAGTCTATAATAATAATAATAATAAGGTGGAAGGAGGGGAAAGATCTAGAAAGTAATAAAACATCAAAGATTTGAATTTGGGATGAGGATGGAAGATATTAAATGAGAAATTTAAACTTGAGAAGCCAAAATGAATGCAGGTCATAGAAAATTGAAGCAGAAGATGGAAGGTTGTTGAAGATACAAAATATTGTTATTTTCAAAATAATGAATAATATTGGGAACCGAAATTATGAATTCTTTAGAGATTGACACGTGACGGATAAGGCTTGCCATGTGGCTTTTTCAAGGGGAAGAGATGTCATATGTGACGTTTTCAAGGGGAAGAGATTTTAGATATAGAATATAGATAATCTCTTTTGGCAAGTAGCAGAGAGGATCCAAGTATTGAAAACATACTTATTAGATCATTACACTGACCTTAGAATCTCTCTCTTTTGTACTAATTCATAATGCATGGTTTCGTACGTATATATTAATCCATAAGGATCGCTTGATAGTTTGTGATAGTGAGAAAATGTGAATAATTTGGTGGTTGTACGCTTACGAGGTAGAGGTTGAAAATTCTAAGTTTGCAGGGAGTTTGTTGGTGAGATTCGTGGTGGATTTAGCTCGCCTTCTAAATTTATACTCTGAAATGTTTTCTAAGATCAAAAGTCATTTTCATGGATTAATATAAACTGGATATTTTTGTGCAGGACGATAATCCATTTTAAATGCTTAGTTATCCATTAAAATGTATTCTAGATTACTATGGTATTATGTTAAAGTCTCTTTCTTGGCATCAAAGTAGAAATTATGATAAAATAAATTATCTTTGATAAAAATAATGTAACAACAATGAAAAAGCTTTTATTCTAGAGTTTGATATTCAGCTATATGAATCCTACTCTTCGGTTCAATTATGTTGTTATCATGTCCTTCTAATTATATTAGGCCAACTCTGACTTCTTTTTCCCTTCATAGTTCTTACATTACATCCTTTATTTTATCAATACCATTATATATATATATATATATATATATATGTGTGTTAGGCCAACTCTGACTTCTTTTTCCCTTCATAGTTCTTACATTACATCCTTTATTTTATCAATACCATTATATATATATATATATATATATATATGTGTGTGTGTGTGTGTGTGTGTAAAATGGTCAGATTGGCATACTTTTTCGAGGTTTGGTGACATATTGGTATATTTTCTTTTAGTTTTGTCAGATTGATATAATTTTTCAACTCCGGCGCCATATAGGCCTTAAATTTGGTAGGAGTTACTGTTCCGATCAGGGCTGATGGGATTTTTGGCCGGAACAGTAACTAAATTTTGTCCGGAACAGTAACTAAATTTGGCCGGAGCAGTAACTCCGGCCAGATTTAAGGCTTATATGACGCCGGAGTTGAAAAAATATACAAATCTGACAAAACTAAAAAAATATATACCAACATGTCACCAAGCCTCGAAAAAATATACCAATCTGGTCATTTTGCCCAAATTTAAACAAAGAAACACCATTGACTACGTTAAGCCAAAATGCTGCAGGCACCATTTGCACATATGAATCCCATGGTTGAGGTCACGATGTGGATGTAAAGGAGAGTGTTCCATTTTGACAGAATTTTTGCTTGACGTTCTATCAAATAACAGCTGGGATGTGGAGAAAACTAGGTATTCATGTAGACATGGAGGAGAGAGGGAGTGATGAGGATGTTGTAGCCAATATCGAGTTTGAGGAGAGGTTATTTACAAGGAAGGATGAAGTCCTGCAAGAGTTGAAGAGGAGGGAGGGGTCAAGGCATGAGGAGAGGAAGAGAAGGTGTTTAGGGTTTTGGACAGGGGAAGGAGGAGGAGAGTGATATGCTGAGTTAATGGAGGAGGATAGAGGAGAGAAATGATTAAGCATGTGGTTTAGAGAAGAAGAAATAATAAAAAAAGAAGGGTGGTTTCGGATTTGCAAGTTTTTTTTGGAGAAAAACAATATACAAATATTATGTATTAGACATATGGAGAAATACAATAAACAAATATTATGTATTAGACATATTGGGTTTAAAAATAAGTTAGGATTAGTGTTTTGGGTGTACGAGGCATTATGGAAGTGGGTGTGTATATAAATAAGTTAGGGGGTAAAACTTTGGGTTTAAAGACAAAAACCTCTTATTTTTTTAATAACCCAGCCGAGAATCGAACCTAAGACCGCGGGAGGTATATTGGAACCTCTCAACGTTTTAGATAATCCGTAGTGAGTGTATGGAGGGTCGTTATAGTAATCAACCTAATTAGGAAATAATTTATGTGAGACTCCGAAGATCAAGATTGATCAAGCAACTGCGAATTGTCCAATTCTAAAATTTTCTGTTAAAATGCATATCTTTATTATTTACTAACTGAACTTCAAAATTTGTGATGAAACATATGTCATGCTATCCTCCTTTTTATTTGACTTTTTTCTATTGATGTCAGTTAGCAAACATGGGGTTTATATTAGAGTTATGAGAGTAAAATATACCGTGGCAACCTAAGTATTAAGATTATGATTAAAACGCAACCTTTAAACCATCAAAGGGTCCAACAAAGAACCTAGTTTTTTGAAGGGATAAGGGAACCTACTTCCAGTTAGCAACAGTAGTTGGGACAAGCCTAGAGTCCAGACAAAAACTTCTAGACAGAAGATGGGCCGACTGAACACTGTGCTCTATGATCCACAGACCTAAGGCCCACTAAACAATATTGCTGTCCGCTTATGGTTTAGATAAAAGCTAACTGGAATTTCTCATGTATAAAAATTAAATGAATCAAGGCTTTCAAGAGCAGAGGCCTGTTATTCTCGTAGCTTTTGGTTTCTTATAGCCGTGGCTTCAACGAGTGCCCAAGTCGCTTAAAATTCTAAGAAAAACAATGGATATCAGTTCACTCTTTTTGGGTCTAAAAAAAATTACATACAACTTTCTTATTCGTAATTTTAATAGCGTTTATCCTTTACATAATGATAACTACAGCGTACTTTTCGAAACTATTTCGGGTTCTTGATGACTCGTCAATTTGATAAGAATCCAAGTAGCAGTGCACAAATCGTTCGGAGAGCATAGTTTATTACTATTTGAGCATACCAAATCTAACATAGGATTGGTTCTTAACTTGGCCGATTTTCTTCTCTATTTTACTAGTGTGAAGTGTGAACACATATTTTTTCTCGTACCACAGTAATCCTGGTTTTAACTGCTCCATTACTTTGCAAATTGTTACAGTACCTCTAGATTATGATACAGTATTCTAATGTGCTACAATTGGGCTTTTTGTTTTTAGGTCCATTTGTTTACTAAGCTTTATCTTTAAACCCAAGTATTATTAGTTGTATCTTTAAACCCAACTTTTTTTTTTTTTATCTTTAAACCCAATTTTCTTATATAGGGGGACCCACATATGAGAGTATTATATTTTGGAATTGGGTTTAAAGATAAATACAAAAAAATATATAGGGGGACCCACATATGAGAGTATTATATTTTGGAATTGGGTTTAAAGATAAATACAAAAAAAAAGTTGGGTTTAAAGATACACCTAATAATTTTATATTTTGGAATTGGGTTTAAAGATAAATACAAAAAAAAAGTTGGGTTTAAAGATACACCTAATAATTTTTGGGTTTAAAGATAAAGCTAGTTAAACAAATGGACCTAAAAACAAAAAGCCCTTATTTTTTTTTCCAAAAGACAGTTCAGAGGAGTAAATTTCACTTTTAAAATTCGCGCTGACATGAGATACTCACTAAGACGCATTACACGGACCTACTAGGCGAGCAACAACGCAACACAGGTCTCTAAGCATAATAAAAAAGAAAAAGTAAAAAATCAGTTTAAAAAATAAAAAAGCTTCTATCTACTTGAATCAGCATAAGCCTTATTCATAAATTCATGAAATTAACGATCGTAAGCATTCAATCATCTGTACGAATTCAATATAGTTTTTTTTTTATTGATACAGTGTGCATAGTTTCTACGAATTAATACAGTGACCTGTCTATGATTTTTTTTTTATTCCCAAAATGACTAAAATACATGCCCCGGGGACTGAGCACATGTATGACAGCG